GACTAAATGGATGAGGACGAGCTGTACCTGACACTTCTGGGAAATGATGACCACCTTACACTTGTATGGACAATCGCTTTTCCTTTCTGAGAGACGTGCCAAGCTCTGCAGTACTTTGCACGTTTGATTCAGCTGTGTTTATCTCAGATTACATTTTTTTCCCAATTTTTGTCGCATCATAAACTCAAAAATGACTTGTTAGACACTGATATTATATGTCACGACCACACTTTTTCGTGCCTCGTATTGCCAAAGTTACAATTTGCATGTTTTAACATGTTACTAGACTAAAAGACTTGTGTTGTCCATACGAACGTGATTCAATGATGATTGACATAAATGTATTTGTTTAGATACGTTGTATTTAACCTTTATTTTCTGTTTTTGTTTCTATTTTTCTGCATCAGTTGTCCACTTAAAGAACCTGCCAAAGATGAAAATTTTCAAATAGGAAGGTAGTTCAAAAGCTTAACTTTTATCCTTTTTTTTTTTGGTTAGAAGAATTAAATTTTTTACTTAACAGACTCAAAATTAATGGGGGGAAATTTTTTTTTTAGGCAAAGGCAAACATAGCAGGATGAAATCAAAAACTTACAAAACCCTCTTCAAAATGACCAAAGCATGCCTACCAACTGTCATTTTCCATCCTTAGCGGCAGTCTTTTGTTGGGTATAAAATTGCATAAAAAGAAAATGCTTCCACATCACTCTGCAACTTAAGAACTCCTTCGAAAATGGCTAACACAGGCATCCCTACTGTGGACGTTTCTCTGTTCTTAAGTGAAGGTGAAAACGAAGCCAAAAAACAGGCCATTCAAACCATAACTGAAGCTTGTTCAAGCTATGGCTTCTTTCAAATTGTGAACCATGGAATCCCCATTGAATTTCTTAAAGAAGCTCTGCAACTGTCAAAAACATTTTTCCACTACCCTGATGAGATAAAGCTTCAATATAGCCCCAAGCCTGGGGCTCCCCTTCTTGCTGGCTTCAACAAGCAGAAGACAAATTGTGTAGACAAGAATGAATATGTCCTCGTTTTCCCTCCTGGATCCAAATTCAACATCTACCCACAAGAGCCACCACAATTCAAGTGAGTTTTTTGAGATTTGGGTTCTGTTCTTTTGATCTTGCACGTTATGTTGGATTCAAAATGGTTTGGTATGAGTATTATAAACATTTTGGTTGTGGCAGGGAAACGCTGGAAGAGATGTTCCTGAAACTAAGCGATGTGTCCTTGGTTATAGAGAGCATATTGAATGTGTGTTTGGGGCTTCCTCCTGGTTTCCTCAAACAATTCAACAACGACAGAAGCTGGGACTTCATGACTAATCTCTACTATTACCCTGCAGCTGATGTGGGAGAAAATGGCCTCATTCACCATGAAGATGCAAACTGCATCACTTTGGTGATCCAGGATGATGCTGGAGGCCTTCAAGTCCAGAAGGACAGCGAATGGATTCCAGTCACCCCTGTTGAAGGAGCCATTGTTGTGAACGTGGGAGATATAATTCAGGTAAAAGAACACTGTTGTTAAACATTGAAGGAGCCATTGGGCTAGTGAGAGATCTGTTTGTTTGAAAAATTTTGTTTTAATGAAGGTGTTGAGCAACAAGAAATTCAAGAGCGCCACACACAGAGTGGTGAGGCAAAAGGGAAAAGAGAGATATTCTTTTGCATTCTTCCGCAGCTTGCATGGAGACAAATGGGTGGAGCCATTGCCAGAGTTCACTAAAGAAATTGGAGAGAAACCTAAATACAAAGGATTTGAGTTCAATGAATACTTAGCATTGAGATTGAAGAACAAAACCCATCCACCTTCAAGAGTGGAGGATGAGATTAGCATCAAACATTATGAAATCAATTGAAAAATATATGTAAGAACAGAACCAACCACAGAGAAATAATGTAGAAGCACTTCCTGCTGTCTCTATTTGTTGCTTTTACTGTCATGAAAGCTCGAGAGAGCCCTTTAAACTCGCTTGTTGTATTGTCATTTCATTTCATCATCCTACACTATGTTCTGTCTTTATATTAGAAATGTATGAAGAGAGAAAAAAAACAGTGTTTAGTGGACATAGTTCATATTTGTTTCCCTTATCTTTTTATTATTGTTCTTGTTCGGAAGCTTAGGTTGATTTTGGATTACTTTTGGCAGCAAGCTTCACATCATCATCCCTCAAAATGCCAAGTTCCAGAAACACACACTGAGAGAGAGATTCAGGTTGAGGTTGGTATCTCAATTTTCGCTCTTTTCTTGATGAAACTTGTTCATTCTTGACCCATTAGATTGGTGTGGAATAGTGTTAAAGCTTTGCTGAATGTTATGTTTGAGAATTCTGATTAGCCTTGGTGATAATTTAGGCCTCTATCATGTCACTTGTTTGAGCATGTTGGACGTTTATATATGTATGATATACTCGTAGGAGCTTGTTATAGGAGCTAAACACCGTGTATACCCAATTAATGTTTGGATATTCGTTTTATGCTCTCTAGAGAGTATGAAAGGATATATGAATGAACATGAGATGTTGTTTTACGTTTCCTTAGTATCAAGTAGGTATGATTGGGGAGTAACCCCTATTCGTAAACTTTTCTAGAGCGGTTAAGGTCTACTTGGTATGCAAAGTTTAGTTGTCACCCACAAAGGGCCCATGTATGGAGAAACAAGTGGTCGAAGTACTTGTGTGTTTATTAGAGCATGGATTACCTCGTACACACAAGACTTACCCCAAGTTCCATTACAAGGGTAATTTGAATTACGCTCAATTAGTTCAAGGTTGATGATAGATTTAGGAAAACGAAAACATAGAGCTAAGCATATCCGAAATAGAGGGCTTACGTATACACCCCTAGGAGTATACTGGGGTTAGGTATACCCTCCTTTATAAGGTTAGCATAGGCTACATGTCATGATAATGGCTAACGTTAGGGTTACCATATTAGTACATAGTTTAAGAAACCGTCACAAGGTCAGAAGGAAGAAGTTTGCTAAGAGCGTACAAGTACGTTGCTTACAGAGTAGTTTATACTCATTCTTGCTACCCTTTGTTTTTTAGATGGGATATGGACGATTGTTTGATGATACGAGTATACAAGTCGGGCAGTTGTTGGAGGTATCCATAGATCAATTATTTTTCCTTACGTGTCCCTTCTAAGATTCTTTAATGTTATTAACTTCAAAACTCAGGCTATTCTTTTTCAGATTATGCTATTTTATTTCAGATTTAGTGTTGTATTTGAATTTCAAATTCCTTTTATTCGTGCTTTATAAATTTGAAAATTTGTACGGACTGTGGTTTCAATTTATTTGTAACCATGATAAAGTGGGTTGTGGGTCGTGTAACATATGTCAACTACATGTGGTTCAAGAGTACATTAATAACGTCAAATTATAAATAAAATAATCAAAACTATTATTAAAGTTGTATCCAAATATTAAAAATTAATAAAAACGAAACACGTTAAATAGTGAGTCAGCAATGTCCATAGCATGTCCATGTCCATAAATATTCTTGTCGAACACACATGTTCATAGCATATCCATGCGTATCCTTCTTCAACACTTGTCTAATATGGACACTTGACCTAAAATGAAGTTTTCGTGATCCCTTGATAATCTCTAACAAGGTCACATCAAATCTGAAAATTCCAAACAAGTAGTATCGATAATCATTCGTAATCGAGTCAGCTATCTTCTCGATTGTCACTCCTTGGCGTTCTTCTTTTCTACCTTCTAAGACATATGTACTCCCAACAACAATCCAGTTGCAACCAACTGCAGTTGAGTCGATACCGTCCGCTGTGAGTTTGCAGTAACAATGACCGTGATCGTTTAAAAGTTTTTTTTTGTAATTAAAAAATGTTTGAACCCAACAACCCAATTTGAAATACTAAATTATTACAAGGACTAAAGGACTAGAGCATTGTACCAAAGTTGCAAATCAACACAAAAAATAATAATAATAATAATAATAATTAAATTGGGTTAATATCGATAACTATTTGATTTTTAAAAAAATTAAACTTATAAATACTACTTATCTCTTCTTATTTTATCGTTTACTTATAAACGGGGTCAGAGGCTTAAGCATATGTTGCCCAGTTGTAGGCGACGTGAATTTAAATTGGTTTGACTTACTCGGTGTTGAGAATAAATGCTGCACAATCGCAAAATCAATTACCTAAAAGTTTGATTGTGACAAGTGGAGCCCTAGTACACCATTGAGCCTGGTACCTAAACAGTCATATCTCAATACTCAACTGTTTCACTAATAATCCATGAGACATACCTCCTTGTTTTGACCTGAAGCTTGAGCCCCACCATTGTGCTTACAAATTGCATCATAAAAAGCTTCATCGAGTGGCTGACTTCTTCAGCAGACTGAGCCTGCTGTCATTACTGCTACCGGGACTGCCACCATACCTGCTAACTTCAACTCTCTCAATACTTCCTTACCAACATTCACAGTTACCATCTCTGTCCGTTAAAATCATATCTCCACCCGTAATACAAAAAATGTCTCAAAATCTATTTTTGAGGGAGACATAGTATTAATTTTCCACCACCCTTGGGCCCTATGGCCTAAACAAACTACTTTGTAGTACATGTGTGGGTCACCATTAAGTATGAGCATTGTGAGACAAGTGTCTTGGACATCTTCATTTAAAATGGGATTTTCAAGGACAATATCTTACGACCAGGTATGTCGAAATTGCGCCTCTACCCATATATAGGAAGTTGGATTATGCACCTGTTATCTAGAATAAACTCCAAATGACCCAATGATATGAACAACTAATAACAATATTGTCTCTTCTTAACACCCTTTGGTTAGAGGTTTGATTATGTCAATTGGACTCTTGGTTCGCCTTCCACCGACTCCAACTTTTGATTGATTTTCTATTTCTTTCTTCCAATGACACTTGTTACTCTTCTTTGTTTACCACGCACGCACCACCACCGCTTCCTCACCTTAACATCCAAACCAACAATAACAAAACTTCAAACACAACCAATTCATTTCTTATTCTCTTCCTGGGTTTTCAACATTTTCATATATTCACCCGAACATGGAACCCGGAGCTGCAAATTTCTTTAAAGTTATTCTTCAAAACTTCGACGTTCTTGCTGGGTATCTCTCTATCTCTCTCTGTTTCTTTTTTCCAGTGCATGATACTGACACATTGGCATTGATTTGATGTGCAGGCCTGTTCTTGGTCTTGTCTATCCTCTGTAAGTTTCATTTTCACTCTCTGCTGTCGATTTGGACTGAATTTGATCATTTTCAATACTGGGTTTTGGGCTTGTTCTTGCAGATATGCTTCAATCAGAGCCATCGAGACTAAATCTCAAGTCGATGATCAGCAATGGCTTACTTACTGGGTTTTGCACTCTATGCTCACCCTCTTCGAGTTAACCTTCGCCAAGGCTCTTCAATGGTAAGGCGTTGAGGCAACTTCTGGTTACTCAATTGCTTTGAATTTGATTTGATTTGTTCCATTGAAACTTCCTCGTGACAGGATCCCACTATGGCCATATGCTAAGCTGGTTGTTGTCTGTTGGTTGTCTTGCTTCAATGGAGCTGCATATGTGTACGAGCAGTACTTAAGACCTTTAATGGTGAACCAGCAGAACGTGAACGTTTGGTATGTTCCTAAAGGAAAGGACCCTTTGAACAAGCGTGAGGACATCATCACAGCTGCAGAGAAATACATTCAAGAACATGGAACTGGAGAACTTCAATACATGCTTGACCATGTCAGCCTTTACCCTTCTCCCATTAGTTCACACACCTTCTAACGCCTAAACTGATGTATTTCTTCTTCTTCCATTACAGGCCGAACTGAACAGTAGAAATGGCAGCAGCTATTATGGTTATGCAGAGGAATATGAATACTGAAAACCAAGACTAAAATAAGAGTTGGGAGCTCAAAACATGGCTGAAAGGTTTCTCCTTGGTTGTCTATATGTTTTTGGTCTGTAAAAAGCTTGTCTCTTTCCATTGTTGTAGTATATGGTTTGTCCTGTTTTTGGTCTTTGTTGTAATATCAAAGCCTACTCAATAAACGTCAAGAGAAGTGTAGTTATTATTACCAATTTTCACTGCAATCAGACAATAGAAAGAACATAACAACAAGCTTATGATGAGCGTTCTGTTATTACAAATCCAATGGTTAGGTCAATGGCCAGTTAACAATCATGATTCTTGAGACAAAACACATATAACAACTGTAGAATTGCTTGGCAATGATCCAGCCTTGTTTTTCTCTCAATTTTTAAGCTCAAATTTGCGGGAAACTTCAAATTCACTCCTCATGTTCATCTTCAACGTTGGTAGTGTTCTTTGATTGGTATATGTACTCTTGAGCCTCTGCTAGAGCTGACTCCTTGGCGTCTGCTGCATACAAAATCATCTTGATTGCTGCTGCCATCTGCATCAAACGAATAATCATTATACTCTTAAATGGAGAGTTCTGATAAAAGTATCGTTTTCCAGTCATTCATGGAGCTCTTACCGGGAGCTCTTCTAATTCAGGCATCTGACAAAAGATTTCTATGTCCCTTAATTTTGCAAAGTAGAAATCTCTTTCTTTTTCCAAGAGATCTACAGACAGTTTCAGTTCTGTAATCTGTTCAAAAGAAGAATTGCAACAAAAAGAGCATCAACTAAGAGCAAAGTAGAAACTGGCAGTGGCTTTGTTTTGCAGCCTACCTCCTTGGACAACGCTTGAATTTCTCCAGACGAATGTCCCTTGCTCGTTACGCCGTTCTTCCCCGGCTTCGATCCTGGATTGACAAGGCGGAATAGCTTAAAATTATGGCTCATTGCCAACGAAAATAGATAAGTGAACCAAGCTGAGAAGTTTTACTAGGTTCAACTGGGTCACAAGAGCCAGGGCTATGTATATTATGTGTTTGCAGTGATTTAGCAGCCTTCTGGCAGCCCTTCATCACCACTCCACCCTTTACACCCTTACATCGCCGCTCCACGGGGTTATAGTTTCTGTTAAAGACATTCATTGATGACAAAATGGAAAGAAGACACGACAAAGTTTATAAAGTATGAGAATATTAGCATAGCATACTCATTCATTATGCCACCGTTTACTGAATCACAGTAGCGTTTCAGCCATTGCAAGAATTCCAAGTTATCCAGTGTTCTACCTTTAACAAGCCTATTGACTTCAATATGCTGCCACAAACAACAAAGGAAACAACATCTTTCAAGCTATCAATCACAAGACATGTCAAGAGCTGAGATAAAAGGCTGCCCATTTGATAATATACCTTTTCAATTTTCAACTTATTGAATACATCCTGCAGAACCTTGTAATTCTGGATCATATCGTATTCAGTTTTGGCATCAAAATTGACCTTTAAAACACATCCAAGACAGACAACTCGGTATCATACAGTAGCCAATAATTGTTCTCACAATCTAGAAAAACATGGATAAGAGATAGAACTAACCTTATGCATTGGGACAGCTCCTGGGTAGGTCACATCAATCATCTGACACTGCACAGCCCCGGATGCAGCCTACACAGAACGACAAACACAACAAAAAGGATACTGAGATAATCATAATCACTCCAAGATTACTTCCAATAGTAATTTTCGATGCAAGTTGCAATGAATTCAATATCATAATAATAGACATATGACTTGCTCTGAGAAAATGTGGCTAAGACAAAATCTCTAAATATGAGAGCTTTTCAGAGAATCTCGCATGACTAAATTTTGTTTCACTAGAGTTCATACATAATCCAGTGCCCATAATTATTAATAACCCTTATAGATTTTAAAAAAACAGCTACATTCAGGGTTTCCTATCCTATGCTTCAATCTTACAAGGAACTAGTCAGTCCTCAACGAGGAGTATAATGCAAACGGATAATGTGAGATTAACACAAGAACATTATGACCCATTTCTTTCCTTAAGTAAAGGTAACAAAATTACTATCGTATGTCGTAGTTAGCCATTGCCCAGAAACCTCCATTTGTTCTTAGAGAAATTCAACCAAATCCAGAAATAAAGCAACTGAAGAACATGGTTTGAAAATGTTTGGAGGTTGGAGCAAAAATTGATTCCTCTTTTTCAAGCATTTCTACAAACACAAACGTGTATACCACCATATATCCTAACATCGAACAATGAATATCCAAAAGGAAAGAGATGGGAGAAACGGGGGACCGACCAGAAACTCAAAATGCATAAACAGAGAAAACCCACTTCAGTCATTACAATACAAACATTAAACCCAAGAACAACAATGGCGAAAGGGATGAACAAAAGAAGCAGAAAGAAAAACCTCTTCAATGCGAGAGAGATTGAGTTGAAGGCAATTGTTGATCCATGTCAAAATCTCATTCCTACCGACAAAATAAGCGCTGTCCATCATTCCAATATTGGAAGCCATAGTCCCAAAGCAATTCCCAGAAGACCCAAATCATAAAAATGGGAAAAAAATGCAGATGGGAAGAGAGGGGAAAGCACAAAAATGTTTAAAATAAACTGGGAAGGACGACGGCATTAAGAAGGCGGCTTTTGGCCTTACATCATCAAGGGGGAAACGATGCTTTAAACAAATTTCAAAAAGAAAAAAAACCCCATTTGGAAGATCTTAACATTTTCCAAACGGAATATGGAATTTGAACGGTGGAGGGAAATGAGCGTTCCACGCCGATAACAAATTAGCGTTGGAGAAACCAAAACTACAGCAATATAACTTCGCTTACTTTTTAGGATGGGATCTAATTTTGAAAAAAGAATAATTTATTTCAATGGGATGTTCATATGATTCCATGATCCATCCTGAAATTATGTAATAATTATATAGAGTAGATGATTGCATCTGGAAAACTACGTACTAAACTGAACTATATATGTATATGCTTTAGGCTGTGTTTTGAGAATGTACTTTTCTGCCTTCGTTGTATTCTCTTGTATATACTTGAAGTCATCAATATAAATATTGTATTGCATTTTCTTTCTGCGGTTCTTTGTGTTCATTTAGATTGATTGTGTGATGTTGTGCGATCCTAACAACGAGTATCAGAGCTATGCGAGAATTGTTATAATATCTGATGATGGAAAACTAAAAAATTGGCATTGAGAAGTTTCAAGGATTATATTTTGGTTTCAGGAAGATACAGATTGAAGATTACCTGTTCTAGAAAGATCTTAATGTACCCCTGTCCGGGATATTATGACCATGAAACAGTGGAAGCTTAAAGGATCGACAAACTCTAGGGTGATCCGGTTGACGTTGTTCAAAAACGTGACATTCATTATCATCAAGAAGAAGATAAAGTTTGATCTGTTGAAGGCGCTGTCGAATATGTACGAAAAAAATTCAATCATATCAAACGTAGCTTGTTGCGATTGTGGAGAAAAAAAGACATTTTTGGATAGATTGTACAAAACCAAAGAGGAACAAAATCACAATGGGAGGATGATAATAATTCTATATATTCAGCCGAACACATTACAGATACTTTAATCTGAATCCTAGATTTGGATTTATATGTATCTTTTTCGTTCGTCTCCAAATAAGAAAATGTTTCGAAATTTCAAATCTAAAAATTTGAAGAGGGCATCTCTTGATAACAATAAAGTCTTAGAGATTGAAGGAAAGAGGATGACTCCATAAAAACTTGTAATGAAATTAATTGATATTAAAGGATGTTAGATATATTTTTGGTCTTGAGAATAACCTAATTTTTATTGATGAGTTGGATAACATAGGTTATGCAACAAATTTTGGGAAGAGTTCGTGGAAGATTGTGAAAGATGTTATGGTGATAGCACGTGACACAAAATCTTGAACCTTATACACAACTGTAGGGTATATAAACAAGGTTGTTGTTACGGAGAGTTCCAATTCAAGTCTATGATACAATAGACTTGGACATATAAGCGTGAAAAGGAATGAAGATTTTGGTCGTGAAAGGAGTTTTAGAAGGCCTAAAATAAGTTGATATGGGTTTTTGTAAGAGTTGATTTATGGGCAAACAGAAATGTCTTAGTTTCACTTCATACAAACGTTTGGGGACCATCTCAAGTTCCACCACTTGGTGGATCAAAGTTTTACATCACCTTTATCGATGATTTCAGCACGTAGGTATGGTATGGATTTATTACCTGAAACATAAGTGAGATGTATTTGGTATTACTGAAAAGATGAACAAAATATGGATTGCCAAATACATTATGGCTGATGTTGTAAATACACCAACAATAGAGGATCGTCAGGACCTTTGAAGTTCAAATTGCGAGAAGAGGTATGAACTGAAAAATAATTCAAGTACTCTGACTTGAGGTATAAAAAGAGAAGTATTTAATATATTAAATTTTGTGTATGGAATAAAATATTATCTTTACATTACTATGTCAATGTAAATGTGTCTAATTTGCATAGTGTTACAACCGTACTGAGAAGCGAGTTGATTGTGACCCCAACTATAGTGAGTTAGAAGACAACATGCAAGTGGTGTCTATTTAGCCACGTGAAGACTGATACAAGTAGTACCATAATGAGACCGAGGACTACGGTACATCATTCAAGGCACCAAGAAGAGTATGCATGAAAGTCAAGCTAAGGCATAAACAAGATTAAAGACAATAGTGACATCAAGTGTGTCGAAGTCATGCTCATAGAGGGAAAGGTAGGGCCCTAGTTATAACCTATTGGGCTCCAACATCAGTTTTGACATACAATTCTAGAGTTAAGCGCTCCACCATCCATAGGTCATACGGTCTAAGTGAGCTACACATGCCATATGCATGTGTCATAGTGTGAGCAACTGTTGTAAGATGAGTGCGTTGGGACACTTCATTTCGAAATAGTTTTTTAGAACAATGTTAGACAACATGAATGTGTCGATATTACACCTCGTACCTTGAGTTAGAGGTTGGTATATGAGGTTGCTCTTCAGTATGGTATGCAAAAATGATTTGATATGGATACGAGAGGGTTTAGATGTCCGGAGGTATCGGGCTATTTCTTAAACTTTATAGCTCAAATGCTTACATCTGCAACTTATTCTTTGCATTTGGGTTTTTTGTGGCAACTCAGCCCAACACAAGTATGGACATTAGAGAAAATGTCCAAACCAAACTCAAAAAATCCCCAACCAGAAATCTCTCTCGCTCACCGCCGCCATCTCCGCCGTCGTCCTCACCACTCTCATCATTGGCGGCGAAAAATCATCTAATGCAGCCGACATAATCAAGATTGTCTGCAACGTCACTCGTTACCCTAATTCGTGCTTCACCTCAATAATTTCTCTCAACTCCTCTCCCGAAGTAATTTGGAAGCTCTCTCACCAAGTTTCCCTCCACGAACTCCCGAATCTGCCCCGATTGCTAAAATCTCGAACCACCAACGGCGACGGCGGAGTGGCTTTGAAGGACTGTGAGAGCCAAATCGTAGAACGATATTCAAACATGGATGAGTAGTGAGACGACGGAGTAGGAAAGTTAATTGGACGGACCGGAGGATATGGATTCAACATAGTTTCAAGAGGTTAAGATTGTTGGATGGCTTAGAGTGGACAATATCATATCATTATGGAGAGTTCATCTAACAAAGACCAAGATGATAAGATCTATTGGATACACGAGCAAGGCCATAATAACTAATATCCACTTATTATAATGCTACTTCACTAAATCAATTTTAAATTTCATTCGGAACGTTTTTTTTTTTTAATTTTTTAAAATAAAAAATTTGTTTTTCTTTTCTTACTTGGAAATTTGGGTCTTGAAATTAGATTACAAGAACAAATATAAAAGATCACACACAAACACAGTAGATCACGTAAATCAAAGACTAAATAAAGTAAAAAAGTCTAATACAGGAAGAAATCCGAGCCACCAAATAGTTGAGAGAAGAGAAACTTCAGATGAAGCACGAGTTCTCTATCAGCCATAGCTTGAAGACTAGATCGACCTTAGGGTTGTGTCTCCGATTCATGAGATCTTAGTTTAGCTCAATTCAGTCCTCTTTTGACCTAATTCAAATAGAAGTCAACAAAAATAGATATATACCATATAAATACTATTTTTTAATTGGAAGAAACTAAATCTCTCCGAACCAATTGATTCTATTTTATGCTTAAAGTAGGCTAGGCTAAAATAATTGATATCATTTGTTATTTTATAATGCATTTAAATTTTAATTCTAAAGAAAACACGTCTAAAACAATTTTTTTTAAAATGATAATTTCGTGTTTAAAATTTTATCCAAATTTCAAATATTGCATTACAAAAGAGAGCTGGACTGAGAATAAATCTTTAACCATTTTTAAGTCAACTCCCATCGACTCTAGCTGTTCCCATAACCTCTCACTTAGATCGTCTATCTCCCTCTCTAATTTTTTTATACAATCATACGTCTCCTTCAAAATCTCTGGTATTAGTACCTGCATATATCATAAGTTGAAAGAGGTTAACTTTGTAAAATAAGAAACGGTTCGTGCATGAATACAAAATTTATATACCTTGGAGTCGTCGAACTTATGGTTGAGCTGAGGGAGCAAAGTGTGCAATTTCAAGACAAGATTTTTAATCTCGTCGTCGCGAAATTTGGAGGAAGCCATAAATGAAGGAAGGAAGTTGAAACAATAATGATGAATGGTTTTTGGTGAAGAGGGCGGCAAGAAGAGTGAGCTTAAAAAGGCAAGAGTTGCAATCAGGGCTGGCCCACACTTACACATAAACAGTGTCAAGGCCCACAAATAAAGCCCATTTACATACGACAATTCAACACCTGTCGTTTTATCACTTATATGCTCACTTGCGTTGGGGACAAAACAACGCAGCTTCTTCCCTCATGTCGTTCCCATTTACATACGACAATACAAGGTTTAATGTTTTCAGCCTCGTTCTTCTTTTCTAATGGAAGGTTTTTGTCGACGTTCATTAGGGTTTTTGTCAAGATTAGAAAGATCTATTATTAATTTTTATTTATTTTTGGGGATTAACCGATTTCTTAACGTGCTAAGAATAAACTATAGTCTCAAGATCTTTTAATGAAGCCACGTATTGCTGATGGTGAGTGCTATTGTTCAAGTCATCTTCTTGCCTTTATTTGGTTAAGTCCCCAAAATAATACATATATTTGTTGGATGATGAAAGTCCCACATCGGCTAATTTAAGGAATGATCATAGGTTTATAAGTGAAGAATACTATCTTCATTTGTATGAGGTCTTTTGGGAAGCCCAAAGCAAAGTAAGAGCTAATTCTTAGTTAGGTTAATCATGTAAAATTTAAATTTTTTCTATTACTTTCTAAGTGGTTTACAAAATATTTAAATCATCGACCTTTGTATTTTATGATGTTGATTTTGTTTTCATGTGTTATGTGACGACATTAAAATTGAATTGTCAATGCCAATTTAGTACTATATATTTGTACTTAATGGTCCATTGCCTATTATAATTAGACATGTGAGAGTATTCACGTTGGATCAGAACAACCATAGAGAAGGGTGAGGTGAATAGGGTTTAATTAATTTTTCTAATTATGAAACTTTAAAGATGATATTTACTCTAACAAAATAATTCAAGTTAAAAAAATAATAAATTAGAACCGGTAATAAATTACAATAATAATTTTGAAATTAAATAAGAAAAAGTTAGAAAATATAACACTGTATTGTAGAGTAGTTCTGTCAAACTCGACCTACTCCACTTCTCAAGTTCGTCTTGGAAATTTGAATAAAGAACTCTCTCGACTCTTTCCACGGTTCAGAGTCAAATCGCTACATTCTCTTTTTACGAGTTTAAGAGCAAACACAATCTTTTCTATGACGCATGATCAAATCGGTACGTCCTTGCTGATACTTGTTCCCTTCTCCAATTGATGTGGGACCCTTCAATCCATCCTCCATCAGGTCCATCGTTCTTGCTGGCACACTGCCTCGTGTCCACCCCCCTTCAAGGCTTAACCTTCTCGCTGATACATCATCCGGTGTCTGGCTCTAATACCATTTGTAATAGCCCAAGTCTACCGCTAGGAGATATTGTTCTTTTTGGGCTTTCCCTTTCGAACTTCCGTTCAAAGGTTTTCAAAATGCTTATGCTATAGAGAGGTTTCTACACCCTTATAAAGAATGTTTCTTTCTCCTTCCCAATCGACGTGGGATCGAATTTGTAAGTTAATATGTGAGGTAAGGTGGTAGGATAATGTTTAACAATTCATTGGAAGGCCATTTAACAAATGGGTGCAAGCAAATTCAACCAGGCAATAGTGAGTTGCGTGAGACTGCATTTAGAACCTTCGAATGTTGGGATATGGAGCCGCCTGATGTCTAGATATGGTAGAGATATATTTGGAAGATATTGAGTAAGATCTGCTAGAAACATATATAGTAGATATTTGGTAAAGATTTGATAGAGATATATTTGTCAGATTATATCGGGTAGGTTTAAATTTATATATGTAGTGTTTTCTCTCTCCTATTCTTTGTGTTCATCTCGATCGAGTGTGTGGGTTGTTGAACGATCCTAACAAATGGTATCGATCCTGATCCTAAAGTTGAATCCTTTTCCGTACTTTGGTTGCATGATTGAGGGGACATGAAGTGGTAGCATTTTAGTGTTTTGAAAGAGAAGAGGCAGGTATACAAACTTAGAGATTTGAACTTGCACCAGGACTTAATTTTATTGATTTGACTATGATCTAAAGCATGTGTACATTTGAGAGCATCCCAACTGTGATGGAAAAACGGTAGAGAAAATGGTATAGATTAGAGAAAGATTATACCTTCTCTAATTCAACCTATTCTATCTGTGTATACATCAGCGCAAGTTCCCACACCATCAGGAGGAGGCTCAGCATCCCATGACTGCACAGTTAAACACAAAATGGCCTAATTGTCTTGTGGCAAGCACTTTCCATTTCAGCTCACCTCCTTCACCTGGGGTCCAAGAGTATATCTCAACGTAACGTCCACCATAAGCCCTAGGTCCACCGAGAACGAGTATTCGATCACCGCAAGCTCTAAACGCCACCCCCCAACCATTTGTTGAGACCACACGCTCCGGCAATTGGCCTAATACCACCCACGAGTTTGTTGCCTTATCATATCTTCTAACCTCGCAACGTGTATAATCTGCAGAATACAAAACATTGTTTACAACTGCAATCAAAGGAGGTGCTTCAACTGCAGCATTTCGCACCTCTTCCTCCTTTCGTCTCGGGTACATGTTCGGTATCTCACGCCATGTCTGAGTCTTCATATCGTATTCTTCGCCACAAGTAAGAGCGGTGTAACCTGGCCCCATTCCTCCAATCACATAGAACTTTCCATCAACAAACACTGCTGAGCACAATTTCCTTGCTTTATTCATTCTAGGAAGATTCACCCACTTTCCTGTATCAGAATTATAAAGCTCAGCTGATCTCAGCAGTTTTCCATCAGCGTTGCAACCACCAGCTAGTATTGCAATTCCTCCAACACTGGCTGAACCAAACAAAAACCTGGGTGTGTTCAGCTGCATCCCAGATGACCATTTGTTATCCAAAAGACTATATCTATATATAATTTGGGAAAGTGTTTCCATTCCAAAAACAAGAAGTTCAGTACCAACACCTAACGATTCCTTATCCGACGACATAAAACATTCATTCGACGCCATTACAGGCAGACGCATCCAATGGTTAGACCTCGGATCAAATGCATCCCATTCAACAAGGCTGCAAGAGAAGTAAACCCAATGTTCAATGATTCCCATCTGCCTCCTTATTTTATAAATTTCTCCACTTGAAATTACAGACCGAAACCCCCGATTTATCGACGCAATTCTTCCATATTCTGATCTCGAGCAGTGGAGAAGACATGTTATTGACATATCCCGACCAAGTTTGTAGATCAACAAGCTTGTATCCTCCCTGTCCTGATCCTCAACTAACCTCTCTTCCTTCTTACCATCATCCACCAACACCTTGCATGCCCTTTTTGCTGAACGTTCCCAGTAATGCCTCCTGTATGCCATCTCCCTAACATGGAAACTATATTATAAACCCTTTTGATCACAATGATCACAATGAAACCTCCCTCTTATGATCACAATGAATAAATGCAATAATCGTTTCAACCCAATCACAGTACCATCTAAATGAAACCTAAGTGCATGCAGGGGACGGGAACAAATTCGGATTGAAATTATGTGCATGCCGATCAAAAACAGGACAATGAACAATCAATAGAAGCATGAACACAGCTTAATTTATCAAAAACAAGAAAAGGGTTCCACTCACAACTCCATTTACAAAACCCCATTACAGCTAATATCGATGTTCATCCATAAAAGATAGCTACAAGAAGAAGCAATGAAACAGAGGAAGCGCTTACAAGTTGAATAAGAAGGGCTCAAAGAACGAACGAACGAACGAACGAACGAACTCCCTCAAGCTCAGAGGTACCCCACAGAGAACACTACGGCTGCTCCTTGGCTTGTGAAAGTATTGTGTATGCATTATGGCATTTAAATAGTTAAAAAAAGAACTGGATGAGTTTTGAGAAGAACAGAAAAAAAGGGGGGAAATGGGGCCTACAATGCGGTGTATCCGTGTAAGAAAATGGGCGTTTTAAAAAATTGAAGGGCTGTTCTCGCGGTTTCTTCACGCTTTCAACATTTGGGCTCTCTCCCATTTTTACTTTTCAACCTCTTCAAATGGCGGTATTCATTTTCCTCTTCATCTTCTTCCAATTTGCAGCCTCATTTGTTTCCCATACAGACAAAATATAACTGATTTCATTACACTATTTTAACTTCTTCTCTTTTTTTTACATTTCTATATTATTTTTATATCACTCTTTCTTCATACGTTTCCTAACTCAGATTCCATCTTCTAAAAAGCTTATTAACTCATTCAATGAACTTTACATTTTTCATTACTTGTTGTTTTTCTTTTTCTCTCTTCAAAAGTCCCTCCGCCATTCTTGACACCTATACACATTCATTTTATTTTAACCTAAAATGCATACATCCTTAGTTGAGCTACGACCCATTCGCTCCTGTACTACGTTGTTGCCGTTTATATTCTACGAAAGCCGACATGCAAAATCTTAGATAGATTTTGTTTGTTTTTCGTAACGCTTTTATTTATTACTTGTTTTGATTACGTTCGATAATGTCGTTAATTGATTACATAATGATGAGTTACGCATGATTTACTTTGTATAGTATGACACGTAGTGTATTTTGTCGTCGTTTATATCCTGAGTCGTTACGTACTTTTTCGTCCTTTAACACAAGAAAATTACTATTCTACCCTTGATTTATATATGGATTCGCTTTTTTCTGGTTGATAGTTCGTAAGTAATAAATAACAAAAGCTAGGGTGATGCTTTATTTATTACTTGTTTTGATAACCTTCGACAATGTCGTTAATTGATTGCATAATGATGAGTTACGTATGATTCACCTTGTATATTATGATACGTAATGCATTTTGTCGTCGTTCATATTATGACTCGTTACATACTTTGTCGTCCTTTAACACAAGAAAATTACTATTCTACCCTTGATTTATATATGGATTCGCTTTTTTCTGGTTGATAGTTCGTAAGTAATAAATAACAAAAGCTATGGTGATGCTTTATTTATTACTTGTTTTGATAACCTTCGACAATGTCGTTAATTGATTGCATAATGATGAGTTACGTATGATTCACCTTGTATATTATGATACGTAATGCATTTTGTCGTCGTTCATATTATGACTCGTTACATACTTTGTCGTCCTTTAACACAAGAAAATTACTATTCTACCCTTGATTTTTATATGTTTTTCGGTTTTTTTCTCGTTGATAATTTGTGAGTAATGAATAATAAAAGCTATGGTGATGCTTTATTTATTACTTCGTTTGATGATGTTCGATAATGTCGCTAATGGATTACATAACGATGAGTTACGTATAATTCACTTTGTATATTATGACATTAATACATTTTGTCGTCATTCATATTATGACTCGTTATGTACTTTGTTGTCCTTTAACACAAAACAATTACCATTCTTGTATTCGATTTTTTCTCGTTGATAATTTGTAAGTGGCTATGGAGATGCTTTTATTTATTACTTGTTTTGATAACGTTCGACATTCACACGTAATGTATTTTGTCGTCGTTTATATTATGATTCGTTATGTACTTTGTCGTCTTTTAACACGAGACAATTACCATTCTACCCACATGTATTTGGTTTGACTAGTTGCTAATTTGTAAGTAATGAATAATAAAAGTATGGTGATACTTTATTTATTACTTGTTTTGATAACGTTCGACAATGTCGTTAATTAATTATAGAATGATGAGCTACGTATGATTCATCTGACAGGTAATTTATACCCTTAATTTATATATGTATTTAGTTTGTTCTCAACTTTAAATTCTAAAATTCTAAATTAAATATTTTTTTTATTGACGGTTGAATTTGGCAAAATTGGAGTGGAATAAGCAAAAGTAATGTCCACGCCACTTTTTTCTCCCTCTCAACTAATTGCAATTTTTGAATGAATGCCCTAAAAAAAAAAAAAAAAAAAAAAAAAAAAAAAAAAAAAAAAAAAAAAAGTAAAAAAGTAAAAAAGTAACTTTTTTTCTAATTTACCTGATTTTTCAATTGAATGATTTCTAACATTTTGCTGGCGTCATCATTCAGCATTTTGCTGGCGTCAATAAATATTTTTTCTATTTTCTCGCCTTACTAAACATTTTTTTATAAATATTTTCACTTATTATATATATAAAAAAAATTAAATGGAAAGGGAAATTTCTTTGATTTAAAAAAAATATCCTAATCTATACAAAATTTAAAATTCGAAGCCATCATTGAAGCTCGGGTTGCTCTATAAACTAAGTTTGTCTCGAGCCAACAAGAACATAGAGTTATCTACTTACTCCGATATGAAAATAAGTGAATTTTATCTTGTGAAATTAAGTTTTTAACTTTTGGATTCAATCAAATATAAGGGTCATTCTCATTTATGCAAATTATAGAATTAGCGCTCACAGACAGGAGTTCATAACTTACCCTTATAATTGAATTGCTTATGATTATCTTAAGAGTTAATACAATTAATAAATTAATAACTTACATTTATGATTGAATGGCTTACGATTATTTTAGGAGATATTAATTTTTTCAATTAATAAATTAATTTGTAAAGAGGGATTAAATATTTGATGATACATGTTTTACCCCTGAATTATTTTTGATAAAATCATGCCTAACAATATTCAAAAGTGTATCGTATTCGGACAACACATCCAACTATATCCATACACTACAAACACTTTAGTAAATTAATGGGCTATGGCCCATACCTGAAAAGCCCAATAATTTTGGGGCACAGACGTTGAGCCCAAATTCTAATTACCCCTCTCGAAGATTCATAGCTTAATTGCTTCTCTCGCACCAACGCAAGAAAATTTTGCCTTCTGCTTCTTGGTTTCGCTGCTCAATCTCTCTCAGAATCAGAGAGGCGTAGAGGGAGGGAGCCTGCTCAAGGGTTTTCCTCTGGATTTTCTAGTTCCAAGGAAAGAGATTGAGATTGAGATTCATAGCAATGGCTGGAAAGGAAGTTCGGGAATACACCAATCTCTCCGACCCAAAAGGTACCCACATGAAATTATTATACTTGACTTATGATCCTTGTTCTTATTTTTGTTTTTCTGTGTCTGCCTTTTCCCATTGCGGTTTGCAATTACAGACAAGAAGTGGGGTAAAGGGAAGGATAAGATAGACGATGAAGATATCACGTTTCAACGAATGGTTGCGAAGGTTAGCGCAATTTTGCCTCAACCACCCTCTTTCGTTTAGTTCTTGAATAATTAAGTTCTCTTTTCTGTCTTTTTATTTTCATCGTATAATCTTTAATCAGTTTCTTCGAGTCATCATTTTGCCGAATTGGACTGATCAATATTAAGGTAAAACTGGAGAATTTCGTCGGAGTTTGTTCTGTTAATCAGATTCTCACTAGTTGTAATTGGACATTGAATCGATTACATACTATTTTAACCCTTCTGTTTTACAAAAAAAAACTAAGGTATTTTGTTGTTTTAAATAGAAAAAGGGAGGAAATTGACTCTTCAACTTGAAGATATTCATTAGTGTAGGCGCCATTCTCATTCTTCCGAATAGTCTTAAAATCAATCAAAAGGAGACACAGCACAATGAACTGTTCTGTTGAATAAATTATGATATGCAAATGAGGGCATCAGGAACTTCAGTTGAGACTAAGAGCATGTCACAGAGCACATTGACAAGTTCCTCGTTTCTTTTTCTTCCAAACCAAAGCTTGTTAATGTAGGTCGTGTTTGGTAACTATTTGATTTTTGAAAATTAAGCTTATAAACACTACTTTCTCTTATGAGTTTCTTTGTATTCTTATCTACCTTTTATAGATGTTTTCAAAATCCAAGCCAATATTTGAAAATGGTAAAAGGGTAGTTTTTACATGTTTGTTTTTGCTTTTGAAATTTGGCTAAAAATTCAAATCTTTTCATAGGAAAGAAGCACAATTTTCCAAAACTAAGAGCTAAATGGTTATCAAATGGGGTTGTAGTTCTTTACTTGTGACTGACACAGTATTGACTAATTGTCACCCTCCTTTCTTCTGTAAGTTTGGAAGTTAATTACTGGTAGATGGCATACAACATATGGATTATGATGCCTAGCTTTGTACATCTTCTTTGGATGCTTTGGACCCTTGATTACTTATAATTTTATAAATCTTATAGAACTGTCTGCTTTCAAGTTTTTAACTTAGGTCTTCAAGAAAAAAAATGTCATGTTGTCTTGGAGCTAGCCTTTGGTCAACTAAGCCTCTCCGAGGATTAATTGGGTGGGTCATGAACATAATGCTAGAAGGCTCCAACCCTCCAGTTGTTGAAAAGAAAAATGGAAAAAAAAAAAAAAAAGAGAGAGAGAGAGAGAGAGAAAAAAAAAAGAAGAGGCAGAACAACACCATGTTTGTAGTGTAGCAATACTGTTATCAATTTCAACTGACAAGGGTTCTATTACTTAAGATATGAGCAACCTGTGGGATCATAAGTGATGGTGGCTCATTCCTTTCCTTTTAGTTCGCTGGCTTAAGATTTTTTTTTATTTAATTTTTGTTGCCACTTTCTGTTGTCATACTCTACTTCTTAACTTCCTTAGACAGAGATGGATTTTGATCGGGAGATAGGCCTTTTGGATAGAGCTTTCATGCTTCTCTGAGTAGCCAATGTTTCTTAATCTTGGAATGTATTAAGACTAAATTCTCACAAATAGAACATTTAACGGTTGACATTGTGTTGTAGAATAAAAATATCCTTGTGTTGTAGAATAAAAACATAATTTCATGGAGCTGGATTTTGATCGGCAGATGTAGCACGGTTGACATTGTGTTGTAGAGCCAGCTTGACATGTAATGAAGCTTTAAGTTTTCATTTTCTCAATCCAGC